GAGGGGAACTATTGTAGATACTCTGCTAGCTTAGCTGGTAAAGCTTCTTCTAGTCATACAAGAAGTCTTCATTCTAGCCTGTTTAACACTAGGTTGGGGAGTGTTTGGTTGAGGGTAAATTTCTTTTTATCTTTGCAAAAACTATTGTTGTTTCCTTTTGGTCTTGGTTTTGGAATGAACAATATGGCTAATCTCCTTTCAACCTGCTGTTCTTTGCTGTGTTTTACATTGTAATACTTTTTGTTTCCGATTATATGACGTACTTATTTCCTGCTATATACTGACCATATTTCGTGTGATTGTTTATTTTGCAGAGATCACCTTGAGAACTACACAAGTGACTATACTGTACAGGTCCTGGTGGGCTACTGTGTGGTCTACATTTTCATGCAAACTTTCATGATTCCGGGGACTGTTTTTATGTCACTGCTCGCTGGATCCCTTTTTGGTGTCATCAAGGGTGTAGCTCTGGTTGTGTTCACTGCTACTGCTGGTGCTTCTTCTTGCTATTTCTTGTCAAAATTGATTGGGCGACCTCTTGTCTTTACATTATGGCCTGACAAGCTGGTTTTCTTCCAAGATCAGGTGAATCTCAACTCAAAGTGGGCTTTGTTTATATCAACCTAAAAGGTGGAATAAATTTTTTTGTTTTTACTTCAGGTAGCTAGAAGAAGAGAGAGTTTGTTGAACTACATGCTTTTCCTGAGACTGACCCAACTTTGCCTAACACATTTATTAATGTTGCTTCGCCAATAGTTGATGTGCCATATCATATATTTTTCCTGGCTACTGTTATATGACTCATTCCCGCTGCTTATGTAACTGTCAAGGTATGTGAGTCGGGAAGTTATTGATTAATAGCTCTGAAGTCTGAACTTACGTGTTATCTATTGAGTAACTTGCAAAAGCTTTCTGGTCTCTAAACCTAACTATCCTAATTTGACTTTTATAATTGTTATATTGAACATAGGTGAGGAACATATTATTACTTTATATAGAGTGAAACAAGACATTATTATTAGAAAGTTGTCATAACATTCACATGTCAAAGAACTTGGATAAAGTGGGAGAAGTAAGACTGTCTTGGATCCTCTTGAAGAGTGATTTCTTGCTAAGAAATTTGTTGTTTTTCATCTAAATCATGTAGGAAGTTTATTCTCGTGGTGAGAAAGTAGATTGGAAAACTCAGAATTAATTTGGTAATTGTTTCTTTTTCTTTCTCTCTTTTTGATATTCATGGATGTCAAAAGGTTTTTTGATCTGCCTTGTTTGGGTTGCTCTACAAATGTCCTCAATATATCAGAATCGTGATCCACTGTATGATATGTTGGGATACTGGGGGAAGGTTAGCATGAAGCTACCTAAATTTTTTTTATATATTTTTGAATTGTATGAAGACTTTTATCACTTGTGACTGAGTCACCTGGTTCTGCGGTACAGGCTGGAATTGCTCTTGGAGAGTTGCAGTCTCTGGGGGATCTTTATGATTTAAAATCCATGGCAACGCTTTTCTTTATCGGCATTGTCTCCATTACCCCAACACTAGTAAGCAAGAGCAAATCATAGTATTCTGCTAGCTGGGCATGCTTGGTGTACATGGATGGGCCTTTCTCTCCACAGCAAATTGTGTTTCACTTTATTTCTGTACAGATTTAGCTTCAAATAAATCAAGATGCAGCCGTCTCTTCCGCTTGAATTTAAAATTCATCGCTAATGCTGCAGACACTGAAGATGATGACCTGGAGAAGGTATTAGGCCTTACATGAAATCTATGCGACGATTAGTGTTTGATCTTGTTAGTGTTGTTTGGTTAAGATGAGTAAAGGGTGTAGGAGGGAGGTTTGAGTATTTGTGTAATTTCAGTCGAAATGGTTGGAAACAGGATTCAACCTCTAAGCAGTTGTATATCAGTGTTACTAAATTTATTTTAGAAGACATTCTCTGTTACAGTGTTGTGTTTTCTGCACTTTGCTATGGTTTTAACTCCAAATTAGAAGTCATGGTGAAAACATATTCTTATTGCACTGACAGAAGAGCTGAGTCTGAGTTAATTGGCTTGATTGATTGGTGGGTAGAAGAGTTAAGACTGAAAAAATTAATCTCCAATTAACAAAAAATCAGCCTAATTTAACATACTGTTAACACTCAATTTTTATATTAGTGTAGTCAATTGTGGTGGAATATCCGTGGCTACTTTAAAGTTGGAGAATACCATTTGACTCCACTATGAAAAAGATATATTGCCAAAGGTGGTTGAAATTTGGTCTTATCTACTTTTTCACGTTCTCAGAGTTATGTATTGCTTTTCTTCCATTTTGAATGTTCCTGGACGTTGTGACTGTTCTTACCAAATTGATTGCCTTCTCACCGCCCCAACCCCTACATATAAATGATGTTTGGAATCTAAGTGTAGACTTTGGTGACCAAGACTTACAGCTACCAGCCCTTACTTCCATTTTGAGCCCTGCCCTGTTTCTTGCTTCTTGCATTTTGCTTGACATTAAGCATGTTTAATCAACTTTCTTCTATTAAGTTAAATGGATTCTCATTTCATTCTGTTCATGAAATTATGTTCTTTAAACATATGCAATTTCGGGGAAACGGCATGCATAAAGCATATTAATCAGTTTTTAGGGTGCAGCTCTATTTGAATTATCGAGTTTACAACCAACAAAATGACTTCAAAGGAATAAAAGATAAAAGATTTTCCATTTTCTTTTGCACTAATTAATTCACAAAATTAACAGCCGAGAAGATGAAAGATTTGTCAAATTAAAATTAATAGTTTCAAAAGACAATATGTATGAAATCACAAACTAATATAACAATAAAAAATAAACATAAACTAATATAACAATAAAAAATAAAAAATCTCGTTAAGTCGATATGAACATTAGAAATAGGAATAAAACAATAAGCAAAGAATTTTATGATAATAATTTTTTTTTGAAAACAATAGTTGATTGTGAAATTTACTTTGGGTAAATTACGGTGAAATTATTTAGGCTTCGTTTGGTTCAAAATTTGGGGGTTTTGGGAAAAGTTTTTTTAAAAAAGTTAAATTGGGCGGATATTACGATGTAGGATTTATAAATTAATAAAATGCCCCTTATATTTGTTTTTTTTACAAAATATCCCATATAATAAATATTAAAAATTAACAAAAACACCCCCAACCCACCCTCAAACACCCCCAGCTGGCCACCACCACCGGAGGTGGCCGGAGTCGCTTTATCGGCGCGTGACCGGCTGGATCTTGCCGGTTATGCGCCGATATGGTCTTTTCCGGCATGGATCTGACCGGCAAATGCCAAATCTACTGCTAGATCTGGCCGTCAACGGCCAAATCTAGCCGTATTTGCTCTCAACGACGGCCAACAAACGGTCGTCGTTGATGGTCAACGACGACCGTTTGTTGGCCGTCGTGACCGACTGTTACGGCCAAAGATCTGGCCGTCAACGGCCAGATCTTTGGCCTTAGATCTGGCCTTTTTCGGTGCACTACCGGCCAGATTCAGCCGGTAGTGCGCCATCCTATCAGATTCTGGTCATTTTCCGGCAGTGGTGACCGGAATCTGGTAAATGTGGATTGTTGGGGTATTTTTGTAATTTTCAAAAAAAAATTTAGGGGTATTTAATTGAATTAACAAATTTAGAGGGTTTAAAAAAATTGAATAATATTGAAAATAATATTCCAAAAAATGAGAGTTTTTGGGTATTTTACTGTTTAACTTTTTTGGAAATACTAAGAGTAGTATTCCCAATCTTGAACCAAACGAAGCCTCAATTTTTATAAAAGTTTAAACAAGAGCAGACCTCTGCCCACTTTTAGGCTGGAGAATCTTAGTTGTAATTGCTTTGATTCACTGTCTAAAACGATATGTTGCTAAAGGTTGTTGAAAAAATTTGTGTTGATTTAATGTTGGTGGTCAAAGTATTTTTATACTGTTTTCATTTCTCTTTCTATTCATAATCACCTTTGTTAAGACTATTCCCCAGTATATATATATAGAGAGAGAGAGAGAGAGAGAGAGAGAGAGAGAGAGAGAGAGAGAGAGAGTTAACAACATTTTCCCACCTAAATAATGGTTTAATGACACTCTTTTGCCACATACTTTTAAAACACCATTTTACAATATAAATTTATATTTCGGCGACAGATAAAGAGTAAACTTGGTCTAAGATTTTGGGGCTTTTAAAGAGGGGAGGTCATTGAGTCTTTTGGTGGTAGAAGGTTGAATTTTTGTGACTGGAATTGATTAGAATTTGACTTGGGAGGGGCAGTTGTGCAAACCCTAATTGTTCGTCTGCGATTGACGAGGTCAGGGAAAATAGGGTTTGAAGGATTTTGATAAGTGATGATCAAGAAATAATGGTGGTAGTGCGGGGTCGCAACGATACTGAAATAAAAAACAGAATATAAATTTAGGTAGTAAAGTGGTATTTTAAAAGTTTGTGATGAGAAAGTGTAATTAATCCCTTAAGAAATTATCCCTATTAGTATATGAGAGAACTCAAACTCAAAAACTCATGTTGAACCTCTTTGCATTTTTACAATCCGACCACGTAATGATGGTGGGAAAAAGTAGCTCACTCTAAAAATTGGTTGGTTAGTAGTTAACTCGCATTGCTTTCCGTCTATTTTGATGGTGATTCATCTAATCAAATTAGCTGCTTTTACATGATGTTTGGAATTGGTGACCAAGACTGGCAACTAGCCGTGCTCACTGCTCTACAAGACCGAGACTTACAAGTAGCCGTGCCGTGCTCACTGCTCCACAAGACCAAGACTTCCAACTAGCCGTGCAGTGCTCACTGCTCCACAAGACCAAGACTTACAACTAGCCGTGCTCACTGCTCTGCAAGACCAAGACTTGATGGACTAAATTTTTGAATATATAAACATAGACTTATGGACAAAGATATCATCTCTAGTTTTCATTTCTCTCAACAGTCATATGCATCTTTCATTTTCTTCGGTTTTCTGTAGAGAGAAAAGGATGTGGGGGTTATTATGGCACTGTCTAATTCCCTGCCTCGTCTTATTGTTCTTACATTTTCAAGCTATCAACTCTTTTACTCCATCGACAAAACTTTGCCCTCCTAAAGAAAGCTCTGCGTTACTCCATTTCAAGAACTCAATTTCAGTTAATATCTCTGCTTCTAGATTTTGTGGAGGATATACCTCTTCTAGTTCTTATCCTAGGACAGAATCCTGGAATAAGAGCAATGATTGCTGCTCATGGGATGGAATCACTTGTGATAGGTTCACAGGTCATGTGATTGGCCTTAATCTTGGCTCTAGTGGGCTTGTTGGTTCTATTCACTCTAACAGCAGTCTCTTCTTGCTTCCCCATCTCCAAAAGCTTAATTTAGCTTGTAATGATTTCAGTGGATCCAAAATCTCTTCCAATTTTGGTGAGTTCATGAAATTGACACATCTCAATCTGTCTACATCCAATTTCAGTGGCCTAGTTCCCACTCAAATCTTTCACCTGTCTAAACTGACTTCACTTGATCTATCTACTAAATATGGCTTTGGAGGACTAAAATTGCACCAACATGGATTTCGTAAGCTGTTGCAAAACCTAACAGAATTAAGATATCTTCATCTGAATGAAGTGGATATGTCTTCAGTTAAAGCTAATTCTTTGGCAAACCTATCTTCTTCTTTGATATCACTCGGTCTTGATTATTGTTCGCTGCAGGGCGAGTTCTCAAATGATATTTTCCACCTTCCTTTCCTCCAGGAGCTACGTTTATCAGGAAATATGGATCTCTTTGGCCGTTTACCAAAATCAAACTGGAGTAGTCCCCTCAGGTTTTTGGATCTCTCTTCAACACTTTTTTCAGGAATGTTGTACGACACAATTGGTAATCTAAAATACTTGAATGAGCTGGATCTTTCTGAATGCCAGTTCATAGGATCACTGCCAACATCACTTTGGAACCTCACGGAAATCAATTTATTGAATTTGGGTTCCAATAATTTTTCTGGTCAAGTTTCAGCATTGTTATCAAACCTTGGCCAACTCAATTATTTAGATCTGTCTGAGAACAAGTTTTCAGGCGAGTTTCCGGATGTTTTTGGTAACCTCAGCAAGTTAATTGTTGGATATGCTGGTGCAAATAATTTCACTGGTTATTTGCCTCCATCAGCATTCAATCACATTCAACTTTCAGAATTGGTTTTATCCGATAATCAATTCGAGGGCCACATTCCACAGTTCAGTCATCTTTTAAATTTAACTGACAGAATACCATCTTTGGGTCGCTTAGATCTCAGCAACAACAAACTCTCAGGTCCAGTTTCAAATTCCATCTTTGAACATGTAAACCTTAATAGTCTCGACCTTTCATCAAATAATTTGAGCGGCATTGTGAAGTCGGAGAAGTTTTCAAAGCTCAAAAATCTCATTACTGTAGACCTTTCGTATAATGACCTTCTGTCATTAAAAAGTGATATGGTTGACTTTATCTTACCCAAGCTCAGTGAATTTAATTTTTCTTCTTGCAACCTAACTGAATTTCCTCTTTTCTTGAGAAACATGAAAAGTTTGGAAAGTTTAGACCTTTCAAATAATAGTATTGTTGGTCCAATTTCCCCACAGGAGCATATAGATTGCGAAAGCTTGGAGTTTCTTGATCTCTCTAGCAATTCTCTATCAAGTGTTGAGCATCTAGATTGCAAAAGCTTGTGGCATCTTGATCTCTCTAGCAATTCTCTATCAAGTGTTGAGCATCTAGATTGCAAAAGCTTGGTGGTTCTTGGTCTCTCTAGCAATTCTCTATCAAGTGTTGAGCATCTAGATTGCAAAAGCTTGGTGGTTCTTGGTCTCTCTAGCAATTCTCTATCAAGTGTTGAGCATCTAGATTGCAAAAGCTTGGCGGTTCTTGGTCTCTCTAGCAATTCTCTATCAAGTGTTGAGCATCTAGATTGCAAAAGCTTGGCGGTTCTTGGTCTCTCTAGCAATTCTCTATCAAGTGTTGAGCATCTAGATTGCAAAAGCTTGGTGGTTCTTGGTCTCTCTAGCAATTCTCTATCAAGTGTTGAGCATCTAGATTGCAAAAGCTTGGCGGTTCTTGATCTCTCTAGCAATTCGCTATCAAGTGTTGAGCATCTAGATTGCAAAAGCTTGGAGTATCTTAATCTCTCTAGCAATTTTCTATCAAGTGTTGAGCATCTAGATTGCGAAAGCTTGCGGTATCTTGATCTCTCTAGCAATTTTCTAACAAGTGTTGAGCATATTTCATTGATGACAAACCTGCAGTTTCTGAACCTTCAATCCAACTTGCTCAAAGGATCACTTATGACTATACCACCCTTTCTGCAGTACTTTTCAGTTTCAAACAACAACTTGACCGGACGAATCCCTGAATCCTTTTGCAATTTGAGCCATTTGCAACATCTTGACTTGTCTAATAACAGCTTCACTGGAACAATTCCGCAATGTCTAGAAAGCTATGAGACGCTCGTGTTCTTGGACCTGCGAACAAATAACTTCCATGGTCACATCCCTTCATTCTCAAATGGTCATATTGGATATCTTAATCTTAATGGCAATCGATTGAATGGATCGTTACCAACCTCTTTGGTTAATTGTAATGAGTTGGAAGTTTTAGATGTTGGGAATAACATGATTAATGATACATTTCCTCATTGGTTAGGAAGTCTTCCAAAATTGCAAGTTGTTGTCTTGAAAAGTAATAAATTTCATGGTCCTATTGAATATTCAACAACAAGATTTCCCTTCACTAAGTTACGAATACTTGATCTCTCTCACAATCAATTTACTGGTCTTTTGCCAGTAAGGTATTTTGAAAAATCTGAACCTATGATGCGTGGAGATAAAGGTAGTCCTGAATTTGATTACATGGGGGAATATGAGGCATATTCCGCGGGATCTGTGGGGTCAAATGTTTTTGAGTATTATTCAATTGTTTTGGTGGTTAAAGGAGTTACTAGAGAATTTGAGAGAATTCTATCCATTTTAGCAGCCATGGATTTGTCAAACAACCAATTCCGAGGATCGATTCCAGAAATAGTTGGAAAGTTCAACTCACTCGAACTTCTCAACCTTTCTAACAACAACCTTATTGGTCATATTCCATCATCATTGGGAAATTTGACAAAACTTGAATCATTGGATTTGTCTTCAAATAGGCTTGTTGGAGAGATTCCCAAACAATTGGCAAGTTAATGAAAATTTAAGCCAAAAGATCAGTTTAATAGAATGTTATTTTAATTATTGATGTTTTTGGTGTGACAAAATATAATTAGCAAATAAGGTTGTCAATAATTTTTTTTTTTTTTTAATGAATTGTTATTAAATTTAATGCAATAGTATTGATATAAATAGAGTTAAGTTGCACGGGCATGTTTTACTTTGTTATATTTCAAATACTTTCAGATTTTACAACTAATATATAATATATATGAATATTATTAAGTAAAAATGTCTTGAAATTTATAACATTTACATTAAAGAATGATTATATTAATCCTATGCATAATTTTGAATGATATTAAGAAGAAAAAAAAATTATTGACAACCTTATTTGCTAATTATATTTTGTCACACCAAAAACATCAATAATTAAAATAACATTCTATTAAATGATTGAGGTCAATAATCTCTTGCAGTGTTAAATCTTTCATACAATCAGCTTGCGGAACCTATACCTAAAGGATCTCAGTTTAATACATTTTCAAATGATTCATACATTGGAAACTTGGGATTGTGTGGATTTCCAATGTCGAAAGAATGTAGCAGTGATAAGCCAATTGAACCACCATCAGCAATATTTTCTCAAGACGACAATGATCCAAGCTGGTTTGATTGGAAAATCGCTATGATGGGTTATGGAAGTGGGTTAGTGATCGGTTTGTCTATTGGATATATTGTATTCACAATGAGGAGACCAGAATGGCTTATAAGGATGGTGGAAAGAGAGGGACTGACCAGAGTGAGAAGCTTGAACAGAAGAAGTCGAGGAAGAAGAAATCCATAAGTGCAAGAAGCCAAGAAGTGTTTGCACCTCATTATAAGGTAACTTGTTATATTCAAATATTAACTAATAAATTAAACAATCTAAATGGTTTTCTTAATATCATGCTGAAAATTATCAATTTGAGTTGTTTTCAATTTCTTCAGCCTATTATTTACTCTGAACAACATAGCTAGATCTAAAACCCTAAGAACAACCGTTACTCTGATCAAAGAAAATAGAGTAACTCTGATCAACCTAGCTAAATGTAAAACCATAAGAATTTTAATTGACTTTGTTCTGGGCTTATTGGGATCACCATTCACTTTGTTAATCATTCATAAGGATATTTTTCTCATATTTATAAATTACTTTCAGTTATTTTAGAAATTTAGACGTGCCAATTAAGTTATCTAAATTTTAACCACAAGTATTAAATTGTTCTTTTTCTTTCTTCCTGGAACTATAATCATTTTATTTTTCAGACTTGAAGAGTTGATAACACATGGAATTGAAGTCTTTGGTGGGAGAGTGCAAGAAAAGTTAATCTACAAGTCTTTTGCATAAATAGGGAATCTTTATGTATCATCTTTATTAAGTTTGTGTGTTAGAACAGCAAGCAATTATATATGTTTGAATATTCTATTTTGAATTCATGTCCTTAAAACTAAGACTTTACAGATTTTCTTGAAAAAAATTTATTGTCTTCAGAGAGTAACAGAGCAGTAGTACACTTCACCAAAACAATGTAAGCTAGAAGTAGTTGTCTTGACACCAAGGAATTAGATGATGATATAACTGAAAAGTAGGGGTGAGCGGTTCCGAGTACTCTGTATTTTTCGGGAGAACCGGAACCGAAACTGTACAGTGCAGGTTCCCAAAAAAATGAACCGGAACCGGAACCGCACAGTGCAGGTTCTTCAATTCAAGGAACCGGAACCTAAAATGCAGGTTCCGGTTTCTTTCCAGTGTACCCTATAAAAAATCAATTACCCCCCTATTAGTTTAAAAAATAATAAAAACACCTTATAAGTTTACAAATACACCCCTAACAAATTTTCATTATTCATTCATTTGTGTCCAATGTAACTCATAACCTGTAATCTCTAAGCAACACTTGAATTTAATCAATTCATCACAATTCACATAAAATTCGTCAATCAAAACCAAAACATAAATAATTATTCATCACAATTCACATAAAATAACTTCACCAAAATCATTTAAACAAACAACAATATAGAAAGTAAAATAATATAATAAATTACTAATGTTTATAATGTAATGTATAAATCATAATTATTAAGTAATTATGTAATCATTTAACTATGTAATGCTATAATTAAGTAAGTGATCATAATAATAATTATATAATAAATATTATAATTTAATTGAGTAATTTAACTATAATGTAATGTTTAATTAATGTTTATAATGAAATGTATAATTAATTAATTTTTATCATTTAATAAGTATTGTGCTAATGTTTATGTAGTAAATTAGTAATTACTAATGTTTAAAACATAATATCATAATCATAATCATTAAGTAATCATTTAATTATGTAATGTTAATTAATTATTGATCATACTATAATAGTATAATGTAATGTTATAATGAATTAAGTAATCATACTGTAAATCTATAATTTAATATTATAATTAATTAAATTTCAAATCATGATTAATATACTAATATTATAATAGAATGTTATAATTGATTAAGTAATCATATTATAAATATATAAGATAATGTTATTAATTAAATTTTTAATTGTTAATTAAGTAATGTAATAATATAGTAAATAGTAAATTACTAATGTTATAATGTAATGTTTAAATTCATAACTATTATGTAATTATATATCATTTAACTATATGGCTATAATTAAGTAAGTGATCATAATATATAATGTAAATAATAATATTATAATTTAATTGAGTAATTATTTAACTATAATTTAATAATTAATTAATGTTTATAGATGTTTATAAGGTAATGTTATAATAATTAAATTTCTTATCATTTAATTTAAATATTATGCTATGTTATGTAGTAAATTAGAATTACTAATATTTATAATATAATGACATAATCAATTAAGTAATTATTATTATGTAATGTTATAATAATTATATAATCATACTATAATGTAATGTATAGTGAATTAACTATTAAATAATCATACTATAAAATTTTAATGTATATTATAATTAATTAAAATTTTAATCATTAATTAAGTTTGTACTAATGTTTATAATAAATGTTAATTGATTAGTAATTATATTATAAATCTATAACGTAATGCTATAAATCTATAATTAATTAAATTTCTAATATAAGTCAATTAATTAATTATTTAATTATGTTATAACTTATAAGCCGAATTAATTAAGTAGTAATCAATTAATGTAATGCTATAATTAATTATACTATAAATCAATTAAGTAATGTTATAAAATTATAATTAATTAAGTAATCATTTAACTATAATGTAATGTTATAATTGATTAAGTATGATATTTAACTAGTAATTAAATTTATTAATGTTTATTAATTTATCATATATAATTAATTAATTACTAATTTATTATAGATATACTTAGAACTTGATAATTGAAGTAAATAACTAAATATATTATTACTCAATCAAATATAATATTTTATTAAAAAATAATTATTTTAATAACATTAAAAGTCTAAAACATTTTTAATTGGATCATAATTCCAATTATTCACTTAATTGATCAAAACTTTAATATTAATGTATTATAATATATTAAAACTTTTAATATGGTGTAATTTATATATAATAAGTATAACTGTATTTGTATATTTATCTAATTAGGTTATTCTAAAAATTTAACTTTTTCTATTTAAAATTTTTTTATATGTAAAATAATAGAAACTCCCCCATTATTTACATTTCACAAGGTTCCAAAATAGGCTCTAAACAGGTTCTAAAAATAGGTTCTAAAACAAGTTCCAAACAGGTTCCAAAACAAGTTCCAAATAGGTTCCAAAACAGGTTCCAAACAGGTTCTAAAACAGGTTCCAAACCGGACACCCCCTACAGGTTCCAAACAGGATACCCTTTTTACAGGTTTCGGTTCCAGTTCCTCCACATGCAAGAACCGAAACCGGAACCACACAGTAGCGGTTCCAATTTTTTGGAACCGAGACCTACCCGCACAGTGCAGGTTCTGGGTAGGTTCCGATTCCAGTTCCGATTCTTACCCTCGGTTCCGATTCTACCTGTTACCCTTGCTCACCCCTACTGAAAAGACAACATAATTGTCATTACACTTGCATACGATCGATAAATATCTTAACATACTGATACAGGTTTTCATATCCATGATACAAATAATTGGGTACATTATAAAATCCTCAGCATAGAGCTAATGCCTGTATCTTACTCGTGTCCACTTTTAACATCTTTCATCTGCCCCTACCCTACCTAAATCTCTTGGCTTTCTTCTTCCTCTGAGAACCGTCTGGAGTTCGGCTGTCCAGCTTGCGCTTTGTCCCTACTTGTTTCAGAGCAACACCATCCTTTGAAGCATTTGCCCTTGCCTTCCTCAGAGCAACCGCCGGTCTTTTCTCTTGATGTATTTTTGCCTTCTCCCCTTTCTGAACTTTTGTTTTCATCATCTTTAAGCCTCTTATATAAATCAAATATTCTCCTAGAACTTTTGCATAAGACATGCCTGTTAGATGGAATGTACTTATTTAATGCTTGATTCATGTTTCCTTATACTATATAATAGTTATTTTGTAGCAAATATAGAGTCCTCATTATTGGTAGAAAATGATTAGCATATAGCTAAAGTATTCATTCTTTTCTAAAAAAATTTTACCAATCCACTTTACAACTTTCTGGTGTGTATTATCTTACCAGTCCATTGTAATACTACAATTAAAAAATTTCCGAGTTATTTACAAAAAACAAAGACAATGAAATTTTAAATGCACCAATAAAGGTAATGGAATTTTTTTTTTTTTAATATTGGGAACCCATCTCCTTTTCTTTTGTTTTGGTGCTATTTTGATCCTAGAATTAAATTAGCACGTTTGAAAATGGTTTTGACAGTTTAAGTGAAAATTTACAAACCGAAGCATATGCCAATCAAATAAGAGGTAAAAAATAGTCTTTTCGAAGTATATTTCCAATATGAAACAGGTATGGGAACCGCAAAGAGGCGAAATATCT